GAATATAAAAGATTTTTTTTTTCTTCAAACTAACAACGTACTAAGAATGTTATTCCATGACTTAAATGACAAATTAACATTTTTATTGACTTAATTAAATATTTATTGCACCCTCAGAGAGCATGCGATAGCGAATGTCTATCTGGGGAAACCGCTGTGTCACGGATATTAGATCACTGGATGGAACTGAAAGTTCATTTTGGTGTAAAGTTTGTTGAGAAAAGTGCACAAATGAAAGATTGCTTTACGAGTTTTATTGTAACGGCGTTAACTAGCTGTATCTGGTATTTTTCACACCCATATTTGGCGAAATGCGGCGATTAAACAAAAGCTTTCAGGCCAACGATGCCAATCCAACAAAACTTATAAACAGCATCATTTTGGCAACCGAGACACTTAAATCTAAAGTAATTCTACCCGATATTGATATAAACGTATTGGAAGAGGGTTTTGAGGAGTATGTAAAAAAAAAGTGTAATAAGAAATGTATGTGCCAACTTCATAATTGAGTTGATAAATCAACTAAGGAAAAGGTTTATATGGAAGTCTTTTATCTAAGTTATCTTAACTGTTTTTTTTTTATGTCTGCAGATTGCCAGAAAATGTAACAGTATTGCGTAAAATTAATAATTTATCCGTGGAAAGTGCACAATTAACAATTTTCCACATGTTTCAGGCCAATCAAGAGTCTGATATAAAATGCTTTTGAAAAGCAAAAATATATTATAATAGCGCTGAATGGGTAATTTCCCAAATATTCACATTTATTCAGCTAGGACATCGCATTATATTAAGGATGTTCTTAATTTAAGAGTGCTATGTAGAGGCGCGCTCTGCTAACAACACAGCTGTTAAACAGGGCTGTTATGCATGGCGCGCACATAACAAATTTTGTAAACAAACTTTATGTGAATTTGAATCGCCAATTAAAGTAAAAATAATTACAGTTAGATTAAAATTAAAAATTTCTTTAAATTTTTGGTCGAATATATCGAATCGGGTTTTTTCTTTGTGTTTAAGTGTTTGTGTTGTCCAAGATCTTTAAGTGATGTGAAGTTTTGTGTAAATCAAAAAGCTATCTGTGACATAATTTAAAAAAGAAATGGTCTTTGATAAGAGAAAATTTGTGTTTGTAGCATTTTGTAGCAATGCATTTATACACATTTTATAGTGTATTCAACGTGTACTTTTGCGCAATTTCATTTTTCAGCAACTAACCTTTTTAAAGTTTAGCGGATGCACAAAACTAAGCAAGAGAAGGAAGTAGCTGTTTGGATGTATATTAAAAGTGCGTGGTTCAGCATATATCTAGCGAGTTTGAAGCACATTTAGAAGCATGCTGCTGTAATTTTTGCTATAATGTGTCCATAAGGGGGACGAATTGTAGAAGAAACATTAAACTTTTTAAAAGTTAGCAATAAGTCCAGAAAAAGCTAAAGTTTTGCAAAAATGATTGCTGCGACCCCAAACTGAACCTGTGCGCTCCTCTTTAAATGAAGCACAATCCTTAGTATTGGATCAGAATTACGGCTTCCGGAAAAGAAACTGCAATGTCTATCCGCACTATAAAGATGTAAGTAATAGTAAAGAGGATTGTAGACCAGTCAGCCTGCAGAACCAAGTTTCCCATACAGCAGCTCGAATAGCTCGAAATGTAATGAACGAGCGAAGAACTAAATTTTGAAGTACAGAGCCTATTCTCAGCTACGGATTCGATAGCAGTACTGGCCAGTCAAATTGTAGCTAACCATATTTTGGAGCACAGCCGTCTAATACGGACTCGTCTCTATTTGTCAACCCTCTAAGAATGCTTGACTCTTCCGGCAACATATTATGGAACAACAGCACTCCACAATCCATAAGGTTTCGCCGCCCGCTAAAGCCGGAATTTTTAAGAGAGACCGCTGAGGCAATACTAAAGGAAAACGAAGATGTACAAAATAAGGTTGACGAATTATCCCGTGTAAAATTAATATAAATAAATAAAATAGTAAAAAAATATATGTAAAGTTTAGTCTGCCACAAGCAAGGCGTTAAGCGTATTAACTAAAACCAAGTCATTTCAAGCTTTCAAGCTGCAGAAAACCGCAACAAATTTCACAAATCGGATAGGCTGCATCATGCCAGAAACAATAGTAGATGAATAATTTTACCGAAGTTTTCCATCGTGCTATGGATACCATTAATACCCCACATACCTCAGATCCATTAATATCGTCAATTATTTAAATCGTCGCATACAAAAACATAAACGCTTATGTCTGAAGATATCCAGTTCTACTATGCAAAATTCTGAACTCAGATGAGGAAGAGGAAATAATGCTTCAGATAATGAGGAAAAGGATAGTTAACAAAAAAAAAAAAAAAGAGATATATTCAAACGTTATTGGTGCTTAAAATCATAAAATATAGCCTTTTATTCCATGAAATAGGTTTTTTACCAACTCCCACTATTAAAATTTTATGATACAGTCAACCGATGTTGATCATTTTTTATGTGAGTAATATAAAATATGTGTCTAAATAACTTAAAAACCAAAAAAAGTTATGACAGCTAATAATATGAAAGAGGGGCGGTACCACGCCCATTTTTTCATCACAAACACGTGTTGCGAACAAAAGTCAAATGAAAAAACCAAATTTAATTAGTTTGACTGTTTCAGAAGTTATTAATTAATTCAAAAAAATCGGAGTTTTCACCCATAGTGCAATGGTAGTTCCTTTTTAGTAGATCAGGCATATGAGGCATGTGTTAATGATGAAGAAATATTCGCGATATTCGATTCACCACATCTTGTTAAATTGCTAAGAAATATTCTTTTAAATGATAATATTTCCACACCACAGGGCACAGTTTCATGGAATATAATAAGAAAATTATATGGAATTGAAACTAGAATTTAGCGCGCCTATGTCAGAAGTTGACGTTAAAAAATGTCAGTTCAAATTGTTATGAACAAATGAAAGTTAAATTTTCCACACAAGTCTTTAGCCACAGTGTAGCTGCTGCGAAACGCACAAAATGAATAATCTTTTACTGTGCGCTTAGAATGAATAATAATGTCCATGAGGTCTTTCTGAAAATATGTACGTGATTATTTCCTAGTCTGCATTATCAGTAAAAAATATATTGCATTGATGGTATGATTATTACAATCTCATCGGTAATTTCATTAACGGAAAATATGTTGTCTTCCTTGTTGCCACATCCAAATTAAATCAGGACTCGTTGGAAAATTTATTTTATTTGATTAGATATCGGGGAGTAAGAAATCCAATACAATATTATCAAAAGTGCTAGCATGAAAATGTTGAGATCTGTGTGAAATTGTATTCCAGATGAAGATATGATGTTCGTCAATATCATAAAAGATAGCGGGTCCCAACTATCTAGTTTTCATAAACATAATTGATCATAATTGATGTCACACTCCTACAGGGATTGAATCTTTAGATGATGATTTGAAAGTAGAATTGTCATTAGATACAACCATTACCAATATTCAAAGTGATTTTAATACAAAGGCATTGCTGGGTATCTTCAGCACAAACTGTTGCATAAAATTGTCGTGAAGCTCTTATAGATCATTTAAAATCATCGGACAAAATGCACTGTTTTGCTGAGTATTTGATACTCAAGAAAAATGTACACTATAAAAACCAATATCTTAAGTTGACCATTTTTACAAAGTAATTTAACAATACATATATCCCACGTACTGTCCTGCACTGCTCAATTTTTGTGAGCTGCTAGCGTTTGTGTGCATACATATATACATTTATGTGCATGTGTATGAGAGCACAGAGAGAGAGAGAGTAAGCACGATTGAGTGATAGTGTGTCTTTTAACAGTGGAGAGTAAGGCAAATAGCGCAATTATTCATATAAGAACGCGCCCACTTCGTCCGAGAACTTGCAGCGCACTGACTTTGTCGTTCTATAATTTCGCTGCTCGAGCCTCGAGCGACCGAGCCGAGCATATACATACATATATATGTATGTATGTTAGTCTCTTCGAGACAGTTTTTCGGCCATCGACAAAATTTGCTGTACTTTTCCAGTCTATAAGTTGTATGGTTGTGTGTGTTTTGTGTTTTGAAGCGGTTGGTTTCATTAACAGTGCCTTTATTTCAGAAAATGAGGAGGGCGCGAGTTACCGTCCCGGCACCCCCGACATGCCCCCGCTAAGTCACCACGCTTTGTTCTGTAAGCAACTTGGCAACTATGTTGCAATACCAAACATCAGCAACAAAAGCCGACGACGCAAAGGCGAGGCGTCGGCAGCGTTACAGAATGTTGCTGCAACAAACCAATGGATCGTCGTCCGCGAATTAACACAGCAGCAATCCTCGGAATTCTGGCAGCAGCGACGCAGACAGCATTAGCTATAAGATTTGGCAAAGCAGAGCTTTGCAGTCAGTTCTATTCTGATCACTCAAATTAGTGTTAGGTAAACGTTGCTCAATTTGTTCTTTTTTTCGAAGTGAGTCGACTCGCTCACTTTGCTCAGTTGCTCATTCACATTGCTCAGTTGCTCACTGTTCATGAACAGCTCAAAGCTACTGAATTCTTCACACAACAGACAATGAAATACGTTATGTTCCATTTTAAATCTTTGAATTTGGCCTGTTGACTCCCTATGTCCTCAAAATGATTCCAAATCTCACTGTGTTTCCGGATTAGCGACATAATGAATTTTTAAAAGCGAAACAAAAATTGGCGCTAACACGGAAATGTGAGTTTGAAGACAATAAAAAACGGAAGAACGCAAAATGAGCTAACAGTACGTAAAAATGAGCAAAGCCAACAAAAAGAGTGCAGATGAGCAAAAGAGCATGTGAACAAAAAGAGCAAGTTAACAATAGTGAGCAAGTGAGCAAAAAAGAACAAGTGAGCAAAAAAGAACAATTGAGCAATAAAGAACAAGTGAGCAAAAAAGAGCAAGTGAGTAATAAAGAACAATTCGAGAGGAACATGTTCAGTTGCTCAGTTTAGTGAACAACTCTTTTTCGTTCACTCACTCATGAGCAACCCAACACTAACTCAAATGAGCGGAAGCTATTAATAAAGATATACACAATTAAACATAAGCCGACAATTTATTAAAGAGGAGTTACTACAAGATTTCAGGCATTTCTCCATAATAACAGGACTACCCACTGGCGCAGCCGATTTCTGGAAAGTTTTTACTCCGGACGAACCTATAGATTCTAAAATCTTGGTTTTACTGTAAGTTAAGTGAAATGAAAGAAATATAAAATGATATAAAAAAAAGTAAAAAAAGAAAGCAAATACAAAATTTATACATATATGTAAATCCACTATGATATAAAAAAAAAAAAAAAAAGAGAGTGAGGAAAGATAGTTCAACTGCTGTTAAGTGTTGTATTTGTAAAAAAAAAAAAAAGACAAATAATAAAATTGAGAAAAAGAAAGAAAAGTTCTGAACACACACGCAAGCTAGAGACGAGCATATCAAAACGACATGTATTAGCGACAGCGACGTAGACGGCTGAGCCAACACGTTGGGTCCAACCAGTAGTTCACACCACGGTTGACATATCGGCCTAATACAAGTTGTCGCGACATGCCAAACATTAACACACTGGACGCGATCGAACATGATCGAACTGGTCACTGATGTGTGTTTTCATCAGTGTTGCCAACTTTTGTTCAGCAAAAAAAGCTGTTTTTCGTGAGAAGATACTTAAAAAAAAGCTGAAATTTTGTGGAAAAAAGTCGGACAAAAAAGCTGATTAGTAACTAGAAGTCATGGCTGCATATCTTCAACCGTGACAAGCCGTATCTGTAAAGTTTTACGCTATATAGGTTTTACCTGATGCTTAAAATTGAGTAAGCATATCAATATTCATTTTATTGCGTTGTTATGTTTTTACAGTATTGACCTGACTAAAACTTTTCGCCACTTGCGCGTTCGACCATGGCAAGGAAAGCAATGTCATTGCAAAAGTTGCCAAGTCTCTACATTTTTTATTCCGAATTCTTATAAGCACACCTCTTACCCTAAGCTATGTAGAGTCTTAAGAATTTCCCCATTGAACTGGGAGAATATTCTTATATTGGTGTTCAATACTTTCAAAATTCTTTGAATAGAATAACTCTAGTATTGGAACGATACTATTTATATTTACTCGCAAAATATATACATATGCAAGAAACAGAATTTTACACCATTTGAAAATTTGGCGGCAGCCTATTTATTAAAACATATTTAGTTAACACAAACTACTACTACTACTACATGATATCAAATGAGTTGCATACATTCTTTTTAATTGCTTTATAAGATCTATCAGAGAATTTCAAGTTCGATATTCTTGCTTAAATAAGTTATATTGAATAAAATATAAATCATATTTTAGTTCAGTTAGTTCCACTCTATTATCGGTTGGTTCATTCATAGAAAATTGACCTAATTAACTATTTAGTTTTAATTAAACTGCAATGACAAACACTTCTACATACGATAAATCGCTATAAATGATGATAAATTGATTAGTAAAGAAAAAAGCTGAAAAAAAAGCAAATTAGTTTTTTAAAAATCCAGAATTCCCGCTGCCCGCTGTTTTGTAATTTTTCCCGCAATTAGATTTTCAAAAAAGTCCGATTTGACGGGAAAAAAGCTGATTTGGCAACACTGGTTTTCATGCGTTTGTACGGCGGCGAACAGACTTTGAACCAAAACATGTTGGACGCAACAATTCAAATAGAATTGTTGAAGTGGTCACTGAGACTAGTGGAGGTTCAATGGGCAACGTCGGGCAAACCACCAGTGTTGCCGAATCAGCTATTTTGTAGCTAGATCTGGCTACTTTTTAAGGCCGATTGCTACAAAAATTTTCAAACAGCTATTAGCTACAAATCTGGCTATTTTCAAATATTAAATTTAGCTAAAATGCAAGCGAACTTATAACAAAATTCGCTTCGATACTTTTTAAATGTAAATGATTTAAATGTACTGAGCTTTGTGTAGAATTAATACTACAACTGAAGAATAGGTAAGCTTTCTAATATGCTATGCAAAATTCATTTCTTATCAATTTTTATACCCTGACCCATTGACGCCATCATTTTGTAAAAAACGCATTTCAAGTACTAGAGACTTGTGCTTTGGAATGTACACACATTTTAGCCATATGATCACGTTTTGAAAGTTTCATTAAGATTGTATGTCCACAAAACATATGGATTACGCCGATATGGCAAATGTTGCTATGAGTATAGCGTTCCACCCAACTACCTTAAAAAGGCAAATTATAAAAGCGACAATGGTGAAAATGACGAGCTGGTGGTCATAGATGAGATATTATCAGAATTAAATTAATAAAGTTGACTTTTTATGAAAAAAACAGCACTGTTTTCTTTTTTGCTACTTTTTCAGCTATTTTAGAAGAAAGTTGGCTACTTCTAGCTACTTTCAACCTTCGGTTTTGCTACTTTTGCTGAAAAAGTTTCGGCAACACTGCAAACCACAACCCAGATACACACGACGTCAAACCAAGCGTGTTTGTCAGTCAAGTATAATCGTGGGAAGCCAATTTGGTGAACAAGGCAACATAAGTGACGCAACGTAATTCTGGCTTCGAACCGAATAGGTTGCACTGTAATAATTGTTGCAACCGTGAATACGGAAGCAGTAATGCCAGATTTCGAACGACAAAATAGGCCAAATTTCACAAAAATATTAGCTTGAATAGGCGAAAAATTCGAAAAAAAAACTGGCTTAAAAAAAGGCAAAAAATTAAACAAAACATACATTTTAAATGTTTAATTGTGTAATTTATTATCTAGTTCACATTCTGAAGGACTTGCGTATTTCTCGCTGGAACTTTTAAGATAAATATACATACAGTTTGACACGAAAGTGTTTTCACATGGGGAAAAAAAAAAGAATTTTTGTTCTTTGACATTACATTTACAATATTTTAAGCCGCGCAGAAAACAACGAAACACTGGAGCCAAGGCATTCAACTGGACGACCTCGGGCGTTAACAGATAGGGCCGAGCGTATTCTGGCCAGGAAAGTTAATGATAACCCAACAATTTCGACCAGAACGCTTGCCAGTGAGCTGCAGGAAGAATGTCGTATTGACATATCCCGCGAAAGTGTCCGCAGAGCCCTAAAAAGGAACGAGTTTGCATCCCGAGTTGCGCGGAAAAAACCATTGTTGTCGTCGAATCATGAGAAAAGACGTCTAACATTCGCCAGGATGCATGTGGGACATGTGGATTCATATTGGGATGAAACCATATTTTGTGACGAGACGAAGATGATGTTGTATTACAACGATGGACCCAGCCGTGTTTGGCGAAAGCCGTTGAAAGCCCTTGAACGGAAAAATATAATTCCCACTATTAAGTTCGGAAAACTTTCAGTGATGGTCTGGGGGGTGTATTTCTAGTAAAGGAGTTGGAGAATTGTGCTTTATCGAGAGTACAATGGATGCGAAACAGTATTTGGAGATTTTACGCACGAATCTAGTGTCCAGTGCCCGCAAGTTTGGATTTTTTAGGGATGGTAAACCAACATTTAGGTTTTACCAAGATAATGACCCCAAACACAAAGCTAACATAGTCATGTGCTGGCTTCTCTACAATTGTGCAAAGGTGTTGGATACTCCTGCACAAAGTCCCGACCTTAATCCCATAGAGAATCTGTGGGCTGATCTAAAAAAAAGGACAATGACAACAAATTGAACAAGTAAGAACGTTGCAGTCGGGCGTTACCGACTGCGGAATACTCATTCACATCCCATCAACAATTTAGTAGTTAAGTTTCGCTCTAATACTGTAGATTATACAGGTTTTTCCGATTTGCCACGCCCCAACTGGGCGTAGACACCTCATTTTTGGTCAGTTTTTAGAAAGAGATAACGGTACCCTAACTGCAAAGTTTGAATGCTTAACCTCAAAAAATGTGAAAATTACAGGGTATTTTTCGATATGCCACGCCCCTAAAGAGGCGTAAAAATTATTTTTGGCGAATCGATAGAGGAGGCTACCAGTAACTCAACTATCCAAATTTAAAGCTTCTAGCTATTATACTTTAGGAGATATAAACTTTTGTGGTTTGCCACGCCCCCCTGTGGGCGGACATATATCCGACAAAACTTTTTGGTCTTGGGTGATCAGTCCGAGTATATATACAAAATTTGAGGTCTCTGCCATCAGTAGTGTCCAAAATATAGGAGAATTTAAAAAATCACTATATCTTCAGGTCCGATTTGCCACGCCCCCAATGGGCATAGACTTATAATTTTATCTTTAGACTTTATAGAGTCATACCATTAGCTGACGTGCAAAATTTCAGCATTCTAGGTTTACAACTTTAGGAGATACAGTTTTATCCGATTTGCCACGCCCCCAATGGGCGTAGATATATCCGCCATAGCTCGTGATCTTGGGTGGTCAACGCGGACCTACATACCAAATTTCAGCTTTCTAGCTCTTTAACTAACATGATTTCTGGTATATCGGAAAATGAATTTTCCGATTTGCCACGCCCCTAGTGGGCGGATCGGGAAAATTTTAACACTTTATAAATCGGAGATATACACGAATATGTGTTCCAAATTTCAAGTCTCTAGCTTCAATAGCGCCGAAATAGATTGCGTTCATACGGACAGACGGACAGACGGACGGACGGACAGACGGACAGACGGACAGACGGACGGACAGCAAGACGGACATTGCACAAAACCAATATACTGATTCACTTTCGTGAATGAGTATAAAAACAAAATGTAATTAAAAAAAAATTAGAAATATCACATTTAGTAGTTTTTTTTTTAATGTCAAAGAACAAAATTGCTATATTTTTCCCAAGTGAAAACACTTTCGTGTCAAACTGTATATGGATTTTACCATATTGGGCAAGAATCATCGATATTCTTATATTTAAAGCAGAGCCTGCAAATGAGAGTTGAGCGTTTTTTCGTTTATTCTCTTCCTCGCATCATAACCAAAAAAAATTGTGTAGACACGTCTCTCTCTGAGCGTCACTCTCTGTTTTCTTTAGCATCTGTTTCGCTCAGACGCAATGCGATCACTCATTCGTGTGACGCTCTCACATGAGTGTCGCGTAAAACTAACACGATTTTCCCTCACACAAAGCCTCTCAGCAAAAAACACTTTGACTAAAAAACTCAGCAGAAAATGTTTTTGCCTTCGTGTGCATGTAAATACACGCATACATACATACAAAAAGAACGCAGCAATCGCGCGTGATTACCCATACAAACGCAACTTACCGTTACTTCATTTAACTCAAGCAAACGATCAGTGTTTGACTTGAGGAAACGAAAACAGAAACAACTATCTCCCTCAGAGCGCGAGAGAGCTAAGCCAGACGCGACAAAAACACTTTGTCTGTCTGAGTTTTTTTGACTGTGTCACTGAAAGACACTTTTTTGCAGACAACGAAAAAGTGTTAACAGTTTTTTGCAAGCTATGTTATCTGGAAGTCTGAAATTAAAAAGCAGGTTATTATGCAGTTTTTTTTTTGTTTTTTTTATATCGAAATTGTTTAAGGCTTACCTTTCTCTCAGTTGGATAATCAACTCCTTTATAAAATCTTTGCACCTCTCTCTGATTTTGGTGGCTTCATTATTATATTTTGTCTCTTTAATTTCTGTTTCAAATGCATATCCCATATATAATGAAGACACAGCACATTCATCCAAATCATCTTTCAGGATATCTATTTTTGCATTAGGTGGTATTATTTTAGTTTTGAGCAAATCGATACTCGTCACTATCTCAGATAGTAGTTTTGGGGACTCTACTTGCTCACTTTGAAAAAGCTTATTTAATTGTTGCATACTCTTAAGTATCGGTTTTAAAAATAAGAGGTAAAGCTTTTTTGTATCGTCAGAAAAAAGTTCATGCAAAATTTTTGCCTTGTGGCATCTCTCAGTGGTTGCAGCTAATGCGAAGTGCAATTTAAGTTCATCCCACTGCTCTTCGATTCTGCATACTGCTGTTTCTATAGATAACCATCTCGTATCCGAGACTTTAGAAATTTTCAATGGTGCCTATGTATACATATGTATATATAAAATCAGTATGGCGAAATCAAGGGACATTATATAAATTACACGGATTACACGGTAAGTAGACTTACAAAAATTTGAGACGAACAGGGAATTATAACATACATTGTTTTAACGAACACAATTGCACAAACTACACACAAATATATATGTATACCTGCCCATCATTTATACATTCATATAATTTTCTATATGTTATTTGCCTCAAAAAAAAAAAATTTTTTTTGCAGGAGTGGTTGACTGTCAATTGAATAGAATGGCAAACACACTTTATTAACATCAATGAAGGTACACTATTTTTTAATTCAGTGTACACGCTCATATTGGCCCCTGTCATGACGCTTGCGTTGTCGGTGCCAATTCCAATCATATTTGAAATACTGAGATTTAAATTGAGCAACTCAAGCTTGATCGCTTCTGCAATAGTGATCGCGTCTCCAGAGATGATAGGAATTAAACATAAAAATGTAGTAACCATGGTTGCATTTTTACGCTGTAATAAATAATTGCGACACCTATAGATTTGTAGTATAAATTACTGCCCTCACTAATGCATATAACTTTAGTTATGTATATTTACCAAGTAATTTTGTTACACTTATATCCGTGGATTCATCCAACATTAGGCTAAATTTGGATGAACCGATGTCCGCGATAAGATCTTCACGAAAGTGAAGCGCTAGAACATTGTTAATGATTTGTGTGCATTTTGATCTCTTTAATAAAGTTAATAAAGTTAACTGCAGCTTTACAGTCGTTAAATTGTTGCACACACATAGTGGACAAATGGTCTATTGGAGCAATGGCAGAGTGCTCAGCAATATATAAGCATAATGCCGCCTCCTGCTCCTCAGTTTTTGTGTTTTTTTTTTTTTTAAATCTATTTTATTTTTTTGGGCAATGCCTCCAATTGCGGACAAGTGCTTTTTTGTTGCCGCATGTTGCCGAATATCGTACAGTTTGGCGGTAACTGTGCATTTGCAAAAGCTGCAGTACTCCGTTAACTA